AACTATACTAGTGTAATCATATATAAAATTTCTTATATTATGTGTTTTCCATAAAGTTTCGCTTACTTTATGTATTGTGTGAAAAAATATACTGTTATTTAATAAATCAAATGTTTGTATAGGCGCTGTCTAACAGTTAACGGTAGGATTTTGCTAAAAATCAGTTTTGTGGGAGTACTGTGCTGCAATTTATGCAGGCAAAAGAACCCTTTGGCATCACTTTTCGATTTAAATTTAATCAATTTATATTTATTATTTTATTGTAATTTATGTATATTTATTTCGTTAAAACACTTTAACAGTTTAAAAGAGCGATATATATTCGTTAAACTTAACTAATATATATCGGGTTTTAAACAGTACCTACATTGTTTTTGGCCCCCCCCAAAAAAAAAATTTTTTTTTTTTTTTTTTTTTTTTTTTTTTTTCCTCCCCTTCCCTTTTTTTTTTTTTATTTTTTTTTTTTTTTTTTTTTTTTTTTTTCTTTTTTTTTTTCTTTTTTTTTTTTATTGTAACACCATAATGAATGATGCTAAAGATTTATTATTATTATTACTTATGGCAAATATTTGTCATTACTAGGTATAAAAATTAAGTTCAGTAATGTTCTCGCAATCGTCAGCCCTATCTGACACTCGAATTCGGTAACTGACATCATCAAGAAGTATTTACAGATGTCTGTCAATCACCGGCTGACGTAGACACCTGGAGCCATCAAGCAGTCGATTTAGATCTCTGAAGAATATCGGAAAATACTTGAGGTTTTATTACGCCATTTACCTCCGCCGTGATTCCCCCGGCTAATCTTCAACGGATCATTTGCTAACTTGGCTATCGTTTCTAATAGGCTATATTATTCGAGGATATGAACGTGTTTGTGGAGATCTCTGATATATCGTAATGGCGTATTTTATCGACATACTAGCTGTGCCCGCGATTTCGTCCATGTGAAATAGTTATTTTGGCATCAAAGTTTGCTTTGAAAACCTCATCATCTTTATAAATTTAGTTTTGTTTTGCCTTAGTTATGCCGGCAACACCATCCGCGCGTAACTGTAAGACATCAAAATGTATCTTTGAAGACAACCCCTACATTACTATACTATTCTTAGTATTACCGACGACGTGGTCCGCATCCCGTCGTTCTTGCAAGTTAATCTTATAAGATAGACATACTGTCGAGGACATTTTTTCATACTATTAAAAGAAAAGTCATTCTTTTACAAATTTATTGTTTTATGAACGTTCTTTCCATAAAGATAATTATTTTACTTTTTTCCACTTTATCCATGTTTCTTCATTCCTATTAGACGCACTAATATTTTATAGCTTATAGTTCTCTTCAACCTATCTTGGCTTTGCAGATTCAGAAGTACACAAATGACACCGAAACGCCATAGAACTTCACATCTTTTTTATCTTGGACCTTTTATAACCTAGAGGGAAATTGAAATATTCCTAGTCATTTGATATCCAGATTTTCAAACAACGTCCAATACTTTCAAAAAAAATATTCGTGTAAATTTTTATTTTTCAATCTATTGCATATAGTAGTATTATATAAATACAAATCAATATACATTTTAAAAATCGACTCGGGCAGGACTTGAACAGCAACCTCGGTGTTCCTTTTGCTCTAACCAATTGAGTACCGAGTTTATTGGGTAGTTAGGTAGTTAAAGCATGTATTATTAAAATATAAATATTAATTAGCATAAACTTTTGGTAATTGGACCCACGATCGTATTAGTATAATTACTACGATTAAATCAAATAAAAATAATATCATTGTTATAATACCTATATCCAAGACGCACGCATTGTGAACTTATAAGCTACCGTGTCAAATGAGTTCGTAACATCAATTTTCCTGTCTATAGTTTACGCGAGTAGTACACATTTAAATAAAATACTTTAACGGTTTAAAACGCGATATATTAGTTAAACTTATTTGAAAATGATCTCTAAGAAATCTAAGAATCTTTAGTCTCCCCGTGACCACGGCTTTTTGCAAAGCATCCTAAACGCCGGGTCGAAGTTAAAATTCTTTCATAAGTTACTAATATAGTCGCGTTTTAAACCGTTAGAGTGTTTTATTTAAATCAAAATTTACCATCCTTTCCATCAAATAATACTACTTGAAACGCACATAATGTCGATATATAACACAAATATGGGGTACATTTGTGTCATATCGCAAAGAGTCTGTAAAGACCTCAAGGAGGTCGATTACGGGCAATTTGGCAAACGTATCCATACTCAATGGCATCGGTTCTGTCATTTTATTTTGCATCATTATTGCCCTCTTTATGGGCACTGATATGGAAAAATGGTGAAATAAGAAGGTTAGTTAGAATTACGTATATACGAATATAAAAAGCTGAAGAGTTTGTTTATTTGAACGCGCTAATCTCAGGAACTACTGGTTCGATCGGATTTAAAAATTATTTTTGTGTTGTGCGAAAATTTTCATATCTGTGGGTCTCCGATGCCTACGCTGCGAAAACGGTTCAAGATACCCAAAAAATATTTGTGAAAGAATGCCTTATTAAATTATAAAAAAAAATCACTCGACAACAAAATTAAAAGACACTATAATATGTCTATTTTTGAAGATTAACATGCAAGAATGTAAGGATCCGAACGATAGGTTGCGAGCGACGGGACGCGTCCGATGTCTGGATTGCAGTTTAAATTTATAAAGATAAAGAGGAAATTTGTAAAAACAAATTTGGATGGCCAAAAATACAAATGCTTCTAGACGCGGACAAAGTGGCTGACACAGCTAGTTTGTAAATAAAATGTGTACTTTCATACGGTTTAAAGTGTTGAATGAATCAAATCATTTAATCCATACATACAAAAAAATACAAAGAGTAGTACACAAAAATAGAATAACATCAATAATAAGAGATGTATGTGGAGCCACACCACCGGTTGTGACCTGAACCCAACCGATTTCCGAACCACGTGGGTTCAGTCCTGGGAGAATGATAATTTACATAACACCATCAAATGTGTATAATGTATTCGTCTAACCAATCGGGTATAAGGTTCACTAAACTGCACTTTGCAATCTTTACGTTTCATAGTCGTCAATAGACCGAATGCAATTCTTTAATATTCTAATTCGGCAATACTTTCTATAGTTTACAGCAGCAGTAGTACACATTTCAAATAAAACACTTTAACGCGTTTAAAACGCGATATTTAGTTAAACTTGTCTCTTCGAAACTATAGATTTTTAACTTCGGCCCACGTTTCGGATGCTTTGCACGCAGCCGTGGTCACGGGGAGACTAAAGACTGGAGGATGATCTATACATTCTGACGTCAAAGTAAAAAATTGTCTACGCTAGCGCCATTCTGTTCCGTCGAAGTTGGTATTTGGCGAAACTGGCCGGGTCCTTACAGAATTGATTCAATTCAACGTTCAAATGTCTGTAACGTAAAAGTCGTTTGAATTGTCAAGTTTAACTACAATTTAACTCTCACTTAATATCAGCACTTAAGGGTCACATCAAAGAAACCGACGTTAAGTTGTTCAGAAATACCGGCCCATAACATCAAATGGCAGATAAATGCTCTACTTAAGGAGGTATTGTTCGAAATTGTCAAAATGTCAACCTAAAGCTGTTCAAAATGAGTGAAACACTGAGACGATTAACAAACGTATCTTATATAATAACAGGTCCTTTCTAGACCATTTGACTTGAGACTTTCGACTTTGTGCCTTTAAAATACGGTGCACTTTTGATTGAGGCCCCGATATTGGTCAGGAGGTGTGCATAATTTGCTAAGTGTGGAGGCGACACGTCCCTTGTGGTCGAAGCCGATATTAAATCCTTTGTGACTAAATCGTCGTGGTTTCAGATGTAATTATACCTTGTATTCGGTTCAAAGTGTTTTCTTAGGTAAGTTTTGGTTCGATTTTACGAAAGCGTCGGCAATTTGGCCGCATATGTTGGTGTGGACTGGACCTCGACTTTCATCCAGAATACTGAATTTATCAATTGAGGCTTTGCCTGAATGCAGTACAGCTATATAGCAGGCTGTAGCGTTTTAATATATAAAATTAACGTTTAAGATTCGATTTAGTTAAATTTATTTGGAAATTATTTTAACTACGGTCCGATGTTTGGGATGCTTTGCAGCAGCCCTGGTCATGGTGTACGGCTGTACGTACTTTCGAAAATTAAAGACAGTATTTATCTATCACTAGCTAAAACAGTGTGAAAATTGATCTTTGATCGTGAAAAAAAAACTTTATTTTGTTTTATGTTGTTTTTGTAATTTAGTAGGAAATTAAATAAAATATAAAAATATTTTGTTATTTAAATGAGGCACAATACTTGTATTTATAATTATATTTATAATTGAAAACTTTTATATTTTTCACATGTTATTGCTCATGAAGGCACTATATAATTTAAAGTTAAGTTTTTTCAATATATTTTCGATTTTTAAATTATATTTATTATTAGTTCAGCCTACATTCTTGTTGTCTTAATCTATGACCCGACGCGGCCATTTCAGTTGCGTTAAACCGTAGTTTAAAAATTAATTACGTAATAGAAATTTCAAACTAAATTATTAGTAGTGTAATGTTTCAAACCGTTAAATAGTGTGTTATGTACTTTATTAACAACATTTACAAGTAACTATAGAGTTTTGTTTTTCGAACTGAATTATACGTTTATAAGTGTATCTAGTTACACAGATAAGTGATTTTATTTTTTAACCCACAAAGTTATAGTAGAACTTATAAAATTGTTGTTTATCTACTGTTTGGATCTGTAAAGAGGCCACAATAACATATGCGGTTGCCTCTTAGTATTGCCATAGTTGAAATATATACTGAAATTACAACATATGACATTGTATTAAGTGCGCGGATGTCTGAACGGAGTTATGTAAATAACTCAGTCCTAGATTTCAAAAATTCTTAAAATAGTGAGACAATACAAGGAAGGCTGGGTTTTCATCTCAGATGTCACTAAAATGCACAATAATGTAGGCTTAAAGAGAAATCCGTCTGGTAAATATAATGAAACTTGGTAGACAATCTTCCCCGGGGTATATAATCCCGGAACCAGGAGAGACGAAAAAAGGCTTTCGAGGAAAATCTTAATGCGAAGGCTCTGCCGGAAACAATATCTCAGAGACACGGCTGACACGTGTTGTATTAAATTTGATCTGTTTCTTGATAAGCAGCTACAGAAAAGTTCTTTTTGATAGCGCAGAGATTCGTTTGTTCTTGGATAGGATTTTATGTTTTTTATTTCTTCCATGCACAATAAATAAGCTGAAACTAAAAAAAAAAACAGTTAGAAGGTCTTTAAAAATATGTAAACTTGCATCGGTTACAAAACTTAACGTTAATTGTCACAGTCATTTTGACATATGACATGTAAGAATGGCGGAATGAGACTCTTATTCGTCTATACTAAGAAACGAAGCGGAAGAGTTTGTATGTATGTAACCCGCTAATCTCAGGAACTACAGCTTCGAATTGAAAAATTCTTTGTGTTGGTTAGAGCATTTATAGGGAAAGGCTTTAGGGTATAAAACATTGCGGTGTGACTTATAGGAGCGAAGAAACATCGGGAAATGTGAAGAAAACGGGGAAAATTATTCATCTTCGTGGGTTTCCGATGCGTACGCTTCGAAAAGTTCGAGATACCCAAAAAGTATCTATGATAGAATGATCTAAAAAAAATTTCGGGACACTAAATATCTATCTTTTAAGATTAACTTGCAGGACAAGGTTTGCAAAAACAAATTTGGATGCTCAAAATAACGATCCTCGCGGAAGAAGTCACTGACACAGCTAGTATGAACGACGACATTGTAGCAGAATGTGGTAATCATGATTAATTAATTACTATCCAGCAATATAGTGCATAGCTGAGACATGAAATCATATAATGCCAGTGTAATATGACACAAAATTACATTAATACCTATATATTGAACACGGAGTATTATATCACAAAGCGTAACACTGTATCTGTCTTGATATATCTGCAATTACTTCTAAATTATATAATTAGATAAAAAAACATGGATGACCCGAGTGGGATTCGAACCGGAATCTATAGCGATCTGTGCTGCTGCTCTAACCGTTTAGCGTTTCTCACTCGTAATCATCTAACTTTCAAAAACAAGTTTAATTTATATCGCGTTTTAAACCGTTAGAGTGCTAAATAATATAAATGTGTACTACTCCCGTAAACAACAGACCGTACGTTTCTTCAACAAAACAAAAAAAAATCGATTTTTAATTTTAATTGCGTAGCAGGAGACGTGACCACAGATAATTTAAAATTTAATTTAATCAACTCATTCGTTCTTGTTTTTTTATGATAGAGGAGAATAGACGAACAAGGAGTTCAACAATTGATGGTAGGTAAAATAGCCATATACAACGAATCCAGTTGCGCTGCCGACCTTTTTTGCATATGGATATTTGGATACGGACTAAAACCGAAACGCGATCAAACTTCACGGCTTTTTCATCAATTATCGTCAAGTAAAACCCATGTTTGTTTGTCCTCCGATATCATGAAAAAAAAACTAGAAGTAAAGTGATAACAAAAGGGTCGTTTACGTTACGTTACAACACTAATTATATTTATATATTTCCCATTCGCAAACTACAGACAGTGTTTAGCGCTTAAATGCTTCTTAATTCAGTACATTAAATTATGAAGATTAAAAACACAATGGCCAATTTATTGTGCAACATAAATAAAATGAAGTGAAGAATGTACCAACAACAAATCCGGGCCATTAGTTGAGCGTCGGACCCGCGTCAACTTGATAGAAGACAGCTGGGGGCAACTAATCGCGCGACACCTGGGCCCACTGTGTCTTACTGCCGCACACAGTTTGAGTGGCTTTTCATTCGTTTCATAACGAATTTTCCCATTTTTCTGAGGCTTCCGCTAAATATTCAACGGTCAAATTGTCTGCGTTTTAGAACAGATTCGTAAATATAAATTTAATTTTAACGCATTATATAGAAATCGATTATAAATTTAAAAAAAATCGATTTATAATTGCGCGAGTTTATTATCGATTTTTAATTTAAATACTGCCAATCATATGCAATAAAATGTGAAGAATATAAGATATAATATAAGAATTAAGTTTTCAAACCATTTAAAAAATTCTTTTCTGTTTAAATGTAAATGCCGGTTCAATTTTCGCCCATGTAGTATAATTGTAAATCTAAGTATGTTTTTAATTTTATTCATAAGTGTTATTTTATAATTATACTTTTTGGGTGCACGTCCGCGGCACACATAAAAACACAATTTACTCTGTCAGGCATGGATTACGTTAAACTAAAATTAAATAAATCATTGCTTACATAACGCAGTAAGTAAAATAAAATACTGACGGTTTATAAATGCGAAATATATTGTTAAATACTTCATTTTTTCATTCACAACGTTTGTAATAACTCTTTATATAGAAAGAGACATGCTTTGTTTAAATATGACTATATATTTAAATTTATTTTTAAAGTATATATTACCTATATTTACTTTGTGATAATTATTTTATGTAGGTACGTCAAATATGCGATGTTTTACAACTAAACTTTCTTTTTTTTATTTTGAATTTAGAATTCGATCTTCCATTTTACAATGACATAATTTTTATTCCCAGGGGGTGTCTGGTCTCTACGCAACCTGTCGATCTCTGTCCCTCGTGCAGTACTCTCTGGCGAGGGCCAGTCAGCTGTTCTTCGATGCTCCTACGATTTAGAGGGTGCAGCCCTTTACTCCATCAGGTGGTACCGGGCGGAGATTGAGTTCTACAGATACGTTCCGAGGGAGATGCCTCCGTCCATGATATTTCCGTTGCCTGGAGCTTCTGTTGACGTAAGACATTTAAAATATTAAGTAGCTAACCTGGCAAACATTGCATAATATAAATTATTTCTAGTAATATTATGATTAAATACTGTCTATAGTTTGCGCGAGTAGTACACATTTAAATAAAACACTTTAACGGTTTAAAACGCGATATATTAGTTAAACTTATTTGAAAATGATTTTTAACTTCGGCCCGACGTTTCGGATGCTTTGCAGCAGCCGTGGTCACGGGGGGGGGTCTCTCCCCGTAATATATCGCGTTTTAAACCGTTAAAGTGTTTTATTTAAATATTATGATTGAAAAATTTGATGGATTATGCGCGGAAAGGGATGTACCACTGTGATTTATAACGGATAATAAAAAAAAAAAAACACATTTTTAAGCGATTATAATCCGATTATAATATTTGTGTGCGAACTCTAAAACAACTGTTTTGATTTTCATGAAATTTTGTATATAAACATGGCATATGTTTATACAAAATTTCATCAAAGTGAATAGTCTGAGATTTTTACCTTTCCTACGCTAGACCTGAAAATAATAATACCTCTAAGCGCTAGAAACGCATGCATAGATAGATTGAAGAAATTCAATGACTACGAGCGAGACACGGTAACTCAATTGGTAAGAGTGTTGTGAATGTTGCTTCAAGTCTTTTTGTCGGCTAATTTTTATACTCTAAGTAGATTAAATTAAGAATCGAAAATAAATGGAAAAAAATACGACTCGGGCAGAGCTCGGGATCGTTGGCGTTCCATATTGTTGCTCTAACCAATTGAGCTACGGAGTCAATTCCTGCCCGAGACGTGAATTTTGTATTTTTTTTTTCAGCTAGCACAATCAGATCACCAACAAGTACGGATAGTGAATCTCAACCGGCGACTCAGCGGTGAATACCAATGTGAAGTGTCTGCTGATGCACCACTATTCCACACAGACATTCGATCAGCGCCATTGACTGTTGTTGGTATGTTTCCTCTTATAGAAGAACGTTACAGACACTTCAAATGTTTTGGAATCGGTAGCGTTGCTGAAATATATCAAGATACAGGTGTATGTTCATAAATATACTTTAACATTATTATGAGTTGGATGTAAGATGTACACCTGGCGGGCTCGTTGGTGTAAGGGGGGAGGGGGGTGCGCCATCGAGTTTAATGAATTTTTAATTTTTGTGAAACATATTGGACTTCATCTGGAAATCTGGATATTCAATGCGTGGTAAGAATATTAAAATGTCGTCTAGGTAACGTACCACCGTTCACAGATGAAAAAACCTTAGTTAAAAGCCAAAATAGGTTGACAGCACATTATACTTAGATGTCAAATCAAGTTGAGGTTATGTTTGCCTTTTGTCCTCTATCTCCGTTATCAATGATCGATTAACAGAGGGTACATTAAACCTTTACTTTAAATGCTCTTTCACCTGAAAAACGGTGTATTTCTTGAACAAAACAGTGCTCCTCGAATTACGGTTCGGAAAACTCCACTCCGATTGAAGTATTGCTTTCGTTTAGGCCCAGGCCCTAGAGGTTTGTTATTGAGCTGCTGTTTTGTTAAAGCTTCCATTGATTTTTCTGTTCGGCTCGAGTGCTTAAGTAAATTAATAGTAGTTGAACTTATGAAAGCTTATAGTTCTATAAAACAAAACTATAACTACAAACATATTTTTTATCGTTATTTTGTTATGGTGTAAGCAGTATCAAGTACTTAGGTAGCCGAACAAAAATAGACACACACACGTTTAATTGACCTCTCGCGTACCCGTGTGTTTTTTTAAAAATCTCAAATCGATTTCTAATTATATAATCCATAATATGCAATAACCAGGAAAATATAAAAGGTTTCAAATGTAATTAATATTTTAAATTCAATTCAAAATATCATTCTACAGTGATTGTAAACAGAACGATGATTCAATATGAATTCACAATATTAAACAACTTTAATCTCAAACATATGAATTATGTTTTTTTATTTAAAAAACATACAATTTAGATGTATAGAATTTCAAATAATATTATATTTTATAATATGTATAATGTGATTTTGTTACTATTTGACCCTGTATGGTCATTAACTTCTGTAAATGAAACTGACAAGCCTCTTGATTGTTTTGTAACACTTTGCACATATAAAGAACTAACATTCGTGCGCGTAGAATAATTATTTTCGGCAACAAAATTTGTTTTTATTTGTACTGTTACCCACGACGTTTTTGCAACTTAATCTTAAAAAATAGACATGTACTGTCGCGGACATTTTTTTGGTCATCTAAAGAGGAATCATTCGTTTATACATATTTTGCGGATATCTTGAACCGTTTTCTCAGCGTACGCATCGGAAGCGCACAAAGATGTATAATTCTGCGTTTTGTTTCAAATTTCCCGCTGTTTCTTCGTTTCTTTTAATCGTCCACGATCTTCCACGATAAATGCTCTAACCAACACAAACATATCTTTTAAATGCGCACCAGTGCTTCCTGACAGTAGCGCGTTCAAACAAACAAATCTTTATATATTACTATAGATAAGACAAGAATGTATTTTTGCGACCACCGCGTGAAAAGTACTTGAACAATGAAGTAACGCTTGAGTACAACATAAAATGGACGCGCCACCAGCAATAATACTTACTGAACTGCCAATAATGTATGTTAACATCCGGGAAAGCTGCGATTTAATAAAACTCATATTTCCTCTAACTCTATCATTGTAACACGCTGACCCGGCGAGAGTACTACGTCACACAAACTATTATTACCTTATATTAAAACTTTTCCGTTGAGTGCGCACTAAAGCCCTCGTCTCCTATAAACGCTATCGCATGCAACGCGTTACACTATATTATAAGCGTATACACAATATAAAAACAAAATTAACCGTAGTAATAGCTTTTCGATACTGTCTTAAGTTTACGCGAGTACACTTTAACGGTTTAAAATGCGATATAACCGTTACTACTAACGAAATTGAACCGTTACTCAGATCGAATTTTATTTATTTTGACAGTTTGTTAGTTGATGTAAATGTCAGTAGGTACTTTACTTCAACTTACCAAAAACAATGTTTTGTACTGTCTGTTTACGCGAGTAGTAGAAACAAACTTTACGTTTAAAAGATATTACTAAACTTGGACCACGGCTTGCAAAGCTTCGAAACGTCGCCGAGTAAAATCATTTTCAAATAAGTTTAACTAATATATGCGTCCAAACCGTTAAAGTGTTTTATTTAAACAATGGTCTGACAATATTAACAATGTTTCAAAATAACTAAACTCTGAACCTCTTTTGTCTCCGGCAAATATTTCGTCCCAACCATATGGTCTGTTCCATAGTTTCGGAATTTAAATAGAAATGAGTAAATAACTAGATTTGCGGCAAACGTTTTTGTATGCGGCCTACAAGTTAATATCTATACTAATATATAAAGCTGAAGATTTTTTTAACTTTTAATTGAACGCGCTATTGTAAGGAATTACTGGTACTCAAAAAATCTGAGAGCAGTATTGGGAAAGTTATATGCTATAAAACATTGCGATGTGGCGAATAGGAGTAAAAAAAACAGCGGGAAATGTGAAAAAGAACTGAAAAAAAAAATTTATCTTCGTAGGTTTCCTATGCGTATGCTGCGAAAATGGTTCAAGATATAGCATACGTATACATAAAAAAATGATTCCCCTTTAAATGGTCTAAAAAAATGTTCCCGATAGTATAGATCTATCTTTTAAGATTAACTTGCAAGACCGACGGACCGCGGATGACGTCGTGGGTAACAGTTATCAATTATAAAAGATGAAGAGGTTTGCAAAAACAAATTTGAATGGCCAAACAATTTTTATACGCGGACGAAGACGCTGACACAGCTAGTAACAATATATGTGTAAAAAAGACAACAATATTCATAGTAGCGTACCGCGTATCGCTATGTATAGTGTTGATAGATGACCGCAACTTAATACTGAGGCATTGCAGCCTGTCAGCAAACACGGGTGAGGCCTGTTTGTTTCAATTTGGGCTCGTTTAGGAAGTTGGTGTGTTCAGAAACTCAACATTCATCAAATGTATTTTGACCCGATTACCTCATTTGCGGTACAGTTGTACCTTTTTGGACCGCCTCTGTAGCTGAATGGTTAAACAAAATGTGTTGCCTAGAATTGCGTTTAGCGCGAGAGGGTCGAAGCCCGGGGAAACAGTTAATTGTTTCGGTCGGGCACCGTACAGAACTCTGATCAATTACTTGCCTGTAAATAAAAACTGATCAGTGAGACGGACACAACAATGTGTTCGCCCCATGCCCCAACAGGGTAACAGGATTTCGTTATACCCTTTTGATCTTTGCACAGATAGGAATTCGTAGGTTAAGAGAAAAAAAACATTGCGTCTTGTCTAAAGTAATAGTATTAATTCTGAATGGAATAGTTTTGTTCGGGGAAAATGTATCTTTATTTAAAATAACTATTTTTTTCTATGACAAAGGAGGATAGACAGGCATGGAGATCCTTTTAAGAATGCGATACTCTAGCTATATAACATCTAAATTTGATATGCTGCCGGTCTTTTTTGGCTTCGAACATATGGCATATGGTGAAATGGCATACTGAAACTGAAACGTCTCTTCAACTGTGGACAATGGACAACTATTAACAACCTAACACCTCGATATCCATTTTTTGACAGTGTATAATATTCATCGAACCCACGTCCCGTTGATTATTAAGAATAGATTGCTTCTGGAAGACTCGTCGTCTAATGTTATAAATCGATTGTACCTTAAGTGTCTACTTGAAGCACCAATTCAAATGACTTAAAATTAGAATTTAACTTTTTATTTATCCTATAAACATACAAATGCGTATAATAAATTAATTTCCAATCATGGTGAAACAGTTTAAGTATTTTACTAACTGCTAATTTAGGTTATATGAAGAACAAGTCAAAACGCCTGACGCGTGAAACAAAAGATAGTTCAGTTCCCGAGCGCCGCACGCGCCTACCGAAGATTGCCGAGAGCAACCGATGTTTGACGAATTTTAACGAAAATATTGATTGAACAATTCGCTTCAGAAAAATAACGTCACATTGATTTAATGTTAAAAAAATTTTAATATTTTATGTCACATGGTGTTTTGTTGAATTTCCTCATTTTAATATTTGTTAAGTGCCTAAGTAAAGTGTACCATCCATTTTATAACCCACCAGCCGCCACTGCTTAAAATAACTAATGTTTTAACATAACCAGTATGAAATTAATAAAACCACATTTAAAACTCTAACCTTCCAGATAAATAATAAATTATTTCCCAGATCCACCATTCCGCGCACCACGTCTTACTGTGTCGCATAGAAGTTATTCTCGCGGTGACGTCATCAGAGCCAACTGTTCAGTGGACGAAGCCTATCCAGCCCCCAATATCACCTGGATTCTGGATGACCATAAGGTAACTGTTGCTTTTAGAACAGTATATGGGCCAAAATACTTTTAAGTGCCTAATCCGAGAACACAATTCAGATTTTTTTTTCAAAATTGAAATACTTAATTTCCTTTTTTTAAATGCTGAAATAGATATGTTATAGTTCCATTTATAACACACCTACCTCAGCAGCGATGGTTTAAATGATTTAATAATATTTATAGCATATAATACATCAAGTTGTCGAGAAATTAAACAACTGCGTAACTATTTTACAGATGAGGTTATTATTTAATAAATCGGACATTGAGACTTAATAATACGTCAGTTTTAAACTGTAGTGATTATATAAATCACCTATAAAGCAAAATCACAGAAATAATCAGTTTCATCGAATATTCATGTTTAATTAGATACACTGCGTTACCTATGTTAAATATTAAAACTTAAACTTTTCCATAAATTACAAAAATAAACTTAAAATTAATTCCAATTGACAACATAGTATTGTTCTTGTCATAAATAGTACGTACGTATAAATTTAAGACATTTTTGACAATAAGAGTCCTTTGTATAATTAAAGATACAATAAAAACAAGAGGGACACAAAAGTAACGCAGTATTAATCTTCGTAACACATGTATTTTTTATATACTATACTTTGTAGTTTTAATAGAGATCTTTATAACAAAACAATTTTAACTGTTCATGACTCGACATAAAATTAAGTACCTCAAGTAACATAAAACGTTTGCCTACGTCAATATTTGTTAAGAATTAATATACCTTAAATACTGTCTATAGTTTACGCGAGTAGTACACATTTAAATAAAACACTTTAACGGTTTAAAACGCGATATATTAGTTAAACTTATTTGAAAATGATTTTTAACTTCGGCCCGACGTTTCGGATGCTTTGCAGCAGCCGTGGTCACGGGGAGACTAAAGATGGAGGATGTCTCAGACGTCAAAGTAAAGAATTGCTACGCTAGCGCCATCTGTTCCGTCGAAGTTGGTATTTGGCGAAACTGGCCGGGTCCTTACAGAATTGACTAACGGTGTCTTCGCGTTTGCTGGTATGCTGTTTATTGGGATCCAGAGTTTTTAATATGGGATCCCAGGTGTTTGATAGTTTGAGGCCGTCCTCCCTATTGAAATTTCGGTGTTTTTTTGATTTCAATTGCTTCGCGTACCAATCTTGGAAAAAATCGACTCTCCTTTGCGAGGATTTTTGGTTGGTCAAAGCGAATGTAGTGATTGGGCCCTTCTGATGAGTGTTGGCATACCGCAGATTTGGAGAGACGTTTATGTTTTATATCCGCGACGTGTTCTTTAATTCTGTTTGAGATGCTACGCTTTGTTTGGCCGATGTAGGATAGGCCACAATCACAATCCAGTCTGTAAACGCCTGCATCTTGTAAAGGGATAGTACACTTGCTTGGTTTCAGGAATTGCTGAATCTTCTTGTGCGGCTTGAAAATTGTGTCAATAGAAGCTCGATTTAGGACTCTGCTAATTCTATCTGTAACTCCCTTCACATATGGTAGGTAGGCGGCTGACGTATGACTGTGTGACTGTGGGTATCCTTGTACAATGGAACAGGAGGACAATAACACACTACCTTTCTTAGACATTTTAGTAATTCGTGATGAACACGGTAATATTGGGCATACCGTCTTTAGAAAAACAACCCATACAGATAGGTATTTGAACGGTGACTCACATCACCACCCCAGCCAACTTAGTTCTGTCGGAGTATCTTTGTTTCAGAGAGCCCGCCGTCTCTGTGATGCTGCCCACTTAAATGAGGAGTTACAGCATGTCAAGCAGGTCCTATGCAAGAACAAGCTGAGAGTCCCTCCGCAGCATCCCAGGAACAGGAATAAGCCACCCACAGTCAAACGTCAGCCCGCCTACCTACCATATGTGAAGGGAGTTACAGATAGAATTAGCAGAGTCCTAAATCGAGCTTCTATTGACACAATTTTCAAGCCGCACAAGAAGATTCAGCAATTCCTGAAACCAAGCAAGTGTACTATCCCTTTACAAGATGCAGGCGTTTACAGACTGGATTGTGATTGTGGCCTATCCTACATCGGCCAAACAAAGCGTAGCATCTCAAACAGAATTAAAGAACACGTCGCGGATATAAAACATAAACGTCTCTCCAAATCTGCGGTATGCCAACACTCATCAGAAGGGCCCAATCACTACATTCGCTTTGACCAACCAAAAATCCTCGCAAAGGAGAGTCGATTTTTTCCAAGATTGGTACGCGAAGCAATTGAAATCAAAAAACACCGAAATTTCAATAGGGAGGACGGCCTCAAACTATCAAACACCTGGGATCCCATATTAAAAACTCTGGATCCCAATAAACAGCATACCAGCAAACGCGAAGACACCGTTAGTCAATTCTGTAAGGACCCGGCCAGTTTCGCCAAATACCAACTTCGACGGAACAGATGGCGCTAGCGTAGCAATTCTTTACTTTGACGTCGGAGACATCCTCCATCTTTAGTCTCCCCGTGACCACGGCTGCTGCAAAGCATCCGAAACGTCGGGCCGAAGTTAAAAATCATTTTCAAATAAGTTTAACTAATATATCGCGTTTTAAACCGTTAAAGTGTTTTATTTAAAAATTAATATACCTTGATGAGAAAATCAACTGTATAAACTAACGAGGCACTATATCTTCAGTCTCTCTTCAGAAATTTTTTGGCTTGTCATAATTGAAGTATAATCTTTTACCTTTCACGACAAGTTTGGGGTTAGGGACAATTTCTACAATGTTTTCGTATGGTTCGTAAGATATATCGGTATCTACTGCTTTGAATCTTTTGCCAGTGTCGTCAATTGTCTTGTAAAACATAATTTTAACGTCCCCTTCTTCATCAACTTTACTTTTAACAACACCAAGGAAAGTATATTATTTTTCCTTAACATAAGTAACTTTTACTAAAACATGGACACCTTCATATATCTTCGTAGGATGATCATTTTGCTTTTTTTTGAAATTGCTGTATTTCACGTGCGTGTTCCTGTACGTTAGATGTTGACACTTGGCACAAGCTTGACAAGGGCTTCTCGTCAGAGCTAGAAGACGAATAATAAACTTCTAATAAATCTTGTAATACGTACCTTAAAGGTACGGCAACAATATTAGTAATGTCATCAAGGACTATATCATTATCCGATTCATCAAATGGAACGTCTTCTTTACGTGTGTCAATGATGGGATATGTTTGTATGCAGGCTGATATGTTTTTGGATTCATGCACTAACAAAAACCCCTCTTGCAAAAACAACTAAGGTCTCTTTAGCGAAGTTCACCCTAAGTGTGAGTAAAAACCTGGTGTATTGCATCGTACCCTGAAGTGGCACTAGACTTTCAGGTAGTGTTTTTTCAACGTTATGAATATCACTGTCAGTCAGTGTCACCAAGTAAAAACGGACCTTGCTCAAGTCTTTTAGGGTGTCAAAAAAATCTTCTGCATTAGAAATATTTGAACTAACAGCAACTTTTTTATCTGCAATGCGTTTGAGATAGCCGCCAACACCATCAGCAGCCCCTTTGCCATGCCCAGCTTCAAAGAAATTCCATGTAACGCGTATGATCTTTTACTCAGTGAATATTCTGTGACTAATGAAATAAAAATTTTGCTTCTGTCGATACTGAGTAGCTGGTCCATCGGAGAAAAAATGAATTGTAGTTATGTTAGGATTGTTATGTTGTATGTCACTAATTATTGGATGTAAGTGTGCCCAGATAGAGGCTGGATTATTAGAATTATTTGCAGATATGGTACGAAATTCTCATAATCCAGCTTCAGCATTTTTTACCGGGTCTTGTTTCAATTTTTATCTATAGCGACGTTGTTTTTCTGCGTTTGTCAGCGCCATTTAGGACAGAAACTTCTTTCTGAGAAAAAAAGATACAATTTTCCTATAGCTATATCGGATTTAATAACGTATACTGTTTATAAGTAACAAAAATACAACTACGTTATCTATCTAACTACTGCGTTACTTTTTTTTGTAACGCAGTGTAGCAGTTACGCAGTTGTAAATATTTGACTAAATTGTAAATAATTTCCAAATCAAATAATAAAATCCAGATATTTTTACACTCACGGTTGCAATACATACCTAAATGCGTAATAAAACAATAATAACGTGAAATATCGTCAGGACGTAACATTAACAGCGGTAACTCAGCAGACAGACAATAGATACACGCACCTCCTTCACGGACCGGGACGCGACCAGCACGGCGAGAGTACTGCCCAAGCGCTGTTGCTGTCGTTTGTTAAACGAGTTACTACAAATCGAACCAAATAATGTGCAAGTAACCTTAATCCAATCATTTTAAAGTCTTTTTTCATACAGTAACGCAAGGTAGCTACGATATTGTTACTCGTTGGGGACACAGATACATTAATTTTTTATTTTACTAAATGTTCAATTTAAAACGTTTCTAATGCCATTCTAATAACGTCCAAACCTTGCATTTTTATTATACCATCTATAATTAACCGCCACCTAGGAAATATTTTGAGAAATTGTTCCGTATAGTTTGGCACACATGCTCAGGGACATAGATATTTAGTATGAAAAACGGCTGCGTTACTAAAAATGGCAACTTTGTTACTGTAAATTTTCAATTAATAACAATTATTTCAGTTCAAATCATGTGTTTTGTATTAGATAATAATGTTAAATTTTAAAATAATTATACTATTGTCACAATTTTGTAACCCACTCGCATTAAATGTAATGTTAATTCCAGGGACTGGTTTTTAGGCATAAAAAAGTATTTTGGCCCATATATGTAAGTGTCTTTATAACACTCAAGAACCCAAAAAGTATTTAAATAAAACACTATTAACGGTTTAAACTGCGATAAGTTAAAATTATTGGACAATGTAAAACTAAGGCCCAATGCTTTGGATGAATACAATATAGGTATACACTCCGAAACCATGAGTACAGTATTCCTACGAGACAACTTTGCACTGACAAAGCAATAGAAACACTAAACTAGTCTTTGATAGTTATTAAGTAATTAAAATAAAGGTGAATAATCAAGTTTTTTCATTAATTAACGCGAATCCGCGTTTATTACCTTCGCATTTCGCTACGCAGGTAGATTGTACCCTATTACAAAATACATAAGGTTGTAAATGGTTCATTATTTCAACATATTAACGCAACAGCACACGGGTCATAACCATAGGATGTTATTAGGAGCGCCTTTGCTCCTATTCTCATATAACTCTTATACCCGTTGCGCGAATAGATTTCACTTACCGCCAAATTGTCTGAATTATTCTGCCTTATTTAATACAAGATCACCCCGCAACGTTGTTTTGTTTCCAAGATATTATTATGTTGATAAAACTGTATCAAATAATTGGTAATAGTTCTATAATGTCTGTTCACGCGAGCAGTACCCATTTTAATGACCGCTTTTAACCGTTAAAAACGCGAAATATAGTAGTTAAACTTATTTAGAAATGATCAACTAAACTACGACGATCCGACGTTTCGGATGCTTTGCAGCAGCCATGGTCAAGGGCATTTCGCATTTTAAGCCGTTAAAAAGTGTTTTATTTTAAAAAATGCGTTTCGGTCAAATTGTTTAACGTAAAGAGGGTTCTTGCGAGTGAATCTTAAAGGTTAGACGTATACTGATGTAGGTATTTTTGAGATTATTTAAAGAGGACTTATTTTATACATCGACCACCTCTGTAGCAAAATAGTTAAACGTATTGCTGAGCGCGAAAAGTCCGGGGTTCGTATCCCAGGGAAAGAAAAAAATGCTTTGGTCGGGCAGGGCACAGAAGTCTGATCAACTACTTGTTAACAGTCCAACAAATGTTTCAGAAAAATCAATTGATCAGAAATATGTTGGGCCCGGTGGGGATCGAACCCGCGCACCATTGATGAACGATGCATTGTTTTACACCAACGACCCCGCAAAGTTATTAATTTTTCCTTTCGACAGAAGAAAAATGAAAAAGGGATAATAGTTTATCATCGGTTATGCTTTCATAAATTTATTTTCCACCGTTTGAGCCCTGAGTGGATTCGCAGACAATCTTAGATTTCCCCTGAGACCTAGGTTTCATGCAAAGGGTTTCATTTTTATGTCCGCTCCTAAGAATTATTCGTTAAGTAAATATTTCAAGACTGTTTGAATTTCTTTTATGCGACTTTAATTTATTAAGAAGAAACTTTTAATTTTTTGTTAGTCTTACTCATTAATAAAACGAATAAATGAATTAGTTAGTACTTAATTTGTGTGCGAGTCAAGATTAAACACTGTCTATTGTTTACGCGAGTTGTTATACGCATTTAAATGAAACACTTTAACGGTTTTAAACGCGATAAATATTAGCAAAGCTTATTTAGAAAACTATTTTAAGTACAGCCGTTTCGTATACTGTGCAGCAGCCCACATGAAGACTAAATTTGACGTGTTTTTTTAAATTGTATATGATTCTTCATTATTTACTGATTTTTAAGTGGCGTATGTCAGAAAAGAAAAGGGAAAACAATAGGTAGTTTCGGTCGGGCAGGGCTTACCGATTGAGCTACCGTGTTACACTTCATCGTCGAATTTCAACTTATTGCAGCCCCTCTCGCGCAATATAATTTCAATCTAAAATCGATTTTTAATTAATATAATGCCATCAGGCACGAAAGTTTTCAGACTTGGAACCGCCATTTGACATATAAATTTTATTAAATAGGTCTCCCCGTGACCACGGCTGCTGCAAAGCAGTAGCCGGGCCGTAGCTAATATAATCTTCAAATAAGTTTAACTAATATATATCGCGTTTTAAACAGTTAAAGTGTTTTATTTAAATGTGTACTACTCGCATAAACTACGGAGAGTATTGAAATAATTTTCCCGACAATGAACTGCGATTTGAATGTACCTAGCTGCACTTTCATTAAAACGTCTTAGTTAGTATTCTACTCGACGCTGCGTCCGTTGAAATTGTTATTTAAATAAGAATCAAACTTGAGATGAGACTTACAATTCGCTACACTTAATTATATTCAGAGATTTTCCCTTCGAGAGAGTTTTGTGAAACGATCGCAACAGTATTCTGAGAAACTGTGCTTATTGGTAACAGTTAGGAAAGAAAAACATTGCACAATTACATAATAATAATAAATACCATTATTATCAATTGTAAATCTTCAAGGTTGCCTGGAAGAAATCGCTTTTTAGCGATAAGGCCGCTGTTTCTGGCTACATATTTGGTATTTCTTCAAATCAAATCGTATTTTGTAATATTCTGGTGACAATAAAGTATTTTTTGTTTGTTTGTTTGGTCAACCTTATTAAATTCCAATTTTATGTCGTTGATGTTTCACCTTCCATCAGCAGAACCCAATGTTTGATTATACTTACCTCTCAAAATGTAATGATTAAAAAATGATTTTGAGATAATTTCTGGCGAGAAATTAAGAACTAATTCCAACTGTTCGCAACATTCTGTGTCTATGCTAATATCTTTTGATTCGCGAACAACTTATGATTGTTCATGAATTTAAAATACGCTGTTTTCAAATCGAATACATTATTCGTTTCAAGTTTTCGTCTCGTTAATTGTAAACTCGCGGATGTTTTCATTTCGTCGAGTTTTTATCGGGCTCCTCAAGAATGAATAATTATTCTTCATAACTGTTTACGAGAACTTTTAGTTTATATAATGTTAATTTGCTTGAACTGTATTTTTTGCTTTAAATATTGGAAGTTAAACAGTTATCTGCTGCTTGTCTTATGCAAAATTGTTTATAATATTATTACATACTGAAGTCTTTACTCTAGGGCGAGGTCTAAATCACCTAAACTTTCTGATTGAAATCAGCAGAGTATCATTGAGAAAACTCAATAATAACTCAGTAATATTAACAATATAGACAACCTATAAGTGAATTAGTATGTTAAATTAATAAGTCATAAAAAATTATAAACACTCGTGCACTGTTTTTGGTCCTTCGAGCCTTGAAGTAAAAGATAATAATATAGAAAACATTAATCAACAGATCGCTGAAACTATCTCATGGCGCACATCTGACCTGGATTTCAAAGAGCGTGGTGCGTTTAGCCACTTGGAGCTGACTATTCTTGAAGCTGAGCATTACAAGGTTGGTCTTACCTATACGAGTGCGAGTCTGAACAGGATCTACCAGGATCATTTCATTTACGGAGGCAATGAGGCGGAGGATTTGAATATTGTAAGGTAAGTCACAAAAAATATATCTATATTTATGCAATAGATGATAAGTCTCCTTAACTCAATAATTAATCAAGTTGCCTAACATTATTTGGGGTCAAATCCCGGGAAAACGTTTTTTATGGTAGAGGAAGACAGACAAGTACGTGATCCATACAAATAAGATACTTTAAACGTTCTAAAATGCGAATTATATTAGAAAAATTTTTACTACGGCCTACGTTGCGTCCTTTGACACCAAGGTCTCGGGGTGACCTAGTAAAAATAGACTAAAAACGAGTTAAGTTATATTTTATGCTTTTTAAACCGTTAAACGTGTTTTGTTTAAAATGTCTTAACTTTGAAATAACTTTCTTGAGCCTAATACTAAAGTATGGGATCCACTTAATGGAAGTACCCCAGCCTTATAATATCTTGAACACATGCGCTATTGCTTTTTTTTCGGTTTCACATATTTCGGCTTCCACATATGTGATGCAGATTTCCACGGCTTTCTTATATGTGATAAGTTAAACAATTTAACGGTTTAAAACCTGTAATATTAGTTAAACTACAACCGCGTAATCAGTCCTTTCTTACTCAAGATCTAACTAACGTTACACGTTGTAGGTACACAATGGTACCACCAGAGAGCGGCCAGTTCACCCTAGGTTGTGTGGCAACCATCTTTGATATCTACGCGAGGCAGAGCGAACCAGTCTACATCAAGGAGGACACACCACATCCAGCTTCTGTCACTGGTGAAGATTCTTCAGGTACGGATTTTCATGGCAGAGAAGAATTTTATTGAATGCCTGTCAACCTATTTATCGTCCCATATTTACTTAATAATTATTCGTATTTTTTGGGTTATGCTAGTAGTAATAGTCGATTAGTAGTTTTTCACAGATTTTTACGGTATGATTACCTATAGCTTTCATAAGTTCTTTTGCGTTATATTTAATTAATAAGGACTCTCTAAATTTATTTAAAATGAAATAAATTTAAATCATCATTCATGAACTGAGAAAATTGTGTCAATTTATAATTATATATACTTCAATTTTCAAGTTAAGAGCAAAATACTCTACCTGTCCTCAAATCAAAGGTGTAGAACGAACGAGAAGAACTGGCAAGAAACTCGCCACCACTTTTTTATCGCGAACTCTTGTTATAGAAAAGTCTCTTTAAGGCAATACACAAAATTAAATAATTTATTACGATAAGTTTATTTTATGTAACCGTTGCGTACTCGAGGTTAAAGTTGACGGTTTTGACATATTTATGAAATTATTAATAAATAATAAAATTATGCCAGCGCGCGAGTTACCTTTTAAATTTGATTTGTAAAGGCTACATTTTACTCGTATGTATGTTTATATACCGTTATGTCATACGTATATGTAAGTAGCTGACCTGGCAAACGGTTTTTTGCTATATTTTATATTTTGTGCATCAAAATTTGCTGTTGCATTTGTTTGTCCCCCTGTCTTAATTAATTATTTATTCCTGTTAACCACGATGTCGGTCGCGTCCCGTCTCGTGCAATTCGTGCAGTTCATCTTAAAAGAGACAGACATATACTGTCGCCGACATTTTTTTATAAGACTCTACTAAAAAATAAGATTTTAAGAGTCATACTAATTTTTGGCTATTTTTTGGGTTTCTGGGTTGGTGAACCATTTTCGAAGCGCACCCAACAGAAACCCACATAGATGAATAATATTATAATATTTTTCCTGTTTTTTTTACCAAATTTCCCTCTATTTCTTCACTCCTATTGGTCGTGGCCTGATATTTTATAGCCTTCCTCGATAAATGCTCTAACCAACACGAATTTTTCAATTCGAACCACTAGTTCCTGAAATAAGCGCGTTCAAACCAACAAACTTTTCAGCTTTATATATTAGTATATAATATTTTTTTACGTCATACCGATTCATACTGGTTCTCGATTACTTACGTGAAATAAATAACATTAGACACATTCTGATAATAACCAAGGCAAATATTAATATTCTGTTTATTTTCAGGTATTCACCTCAGCAACAGTTTCGTTCTGACGTCCACGTGTATAATTTTACTCCTACATACATTATGATTAGCCTTCCATGATAGTTAAGGGAATTGAATGTTGTGATAGTCGTAACGGCCGTGAAGAAAATCTAGTTTTAGTTCTAATTTCGTATACAGCGTGGTTCAAAATACAGTCCAGGGGGGCAAAACAAGTGACAAAGGATTTAGGTACGTCTGTCATAAAGTGCGCCTTAATTCTTATATCACTTAGTCTCGAATTACCCCCCCTAAATTATCATTTTGGTTTTATAGCACGTTGTTAAATAGTTGAAGTGCCAAATGTAATTTACGAAATCTTTACGTTCTAAGGTTTATAATGGAAAGTTTTGAAAAGTGTATCGAGTAATATGAACATGTATGATGATAATTTTGCATATTCTAAGTTGTCTAAGTGGCCTAAAATTTCAAAAGAGTTCAAATTGAATAAAACAAATTCTTACATTAAAATCTGATTGAAGACGACGTTTTTCTAAATAAGTGTATTGTTTATGCTGAATATTCAAGTAAGAACTAGTTTATTCCAGTTTTAACTACAGACACTACATCAATACAGACCTGTAAACATTTATATCTTACTTTTTGGTCACCTGTAAAACTACCAAATTGTGATATAAATAATTGTAATCTATTGCCGTATTGGAGTAATGCAATAATCTACCGCAAAATAAAATTGTTAAAGTGTTTTCTATAAATACACATTTGAAATTTATTTAAACGCGTTAATACTTCAAAATAATAAGTTAATTTAATCTTCAATTCTACGTAAGAATAAAATTTTGTCGTGGTGAAATTTTGTATGCTTACAAGGGGCTTAGACTAATGTGTGTCTAAAGTTTCCTCTTTTCTAGGACATACTGTATATATGACGCTTCTGTAAATAATATTGTAAAATTTCCAATATGTTTGTATAGCGGTTTGCAAGGGTATACGGTCAAGCTATTGTTAGTTTATCTTTTGTACAGATGGCAAATAAAGTTATGCTTTTAAAAATAAGTCAATAGATATATCGTGTTCTTACAAGTGCTTCTTTGGTCCAATAGTTTTGCTGTTTCGTGACCAGTATTAAAAAATCTAAGAAAATTTGTGATCAAAGTCATCAAGAAAGTAAATAATTAATTGGTATTACAAAAGAAAAAAAAACTGCTCTGAATAGGACTATTAATAAATTATTTGTGTATTATCTGTAGTTATCTTTAGTAGTACACATTACAATAAAACATTTTTAACGGTTTAAAGCAAGAAATGTATTAGTTAAACTATTTATCATTCACTTACGTACCAACTATGATAGAACAAATGGCGCTAGCGTTGCAGTTTTGACTTTGATATTAGGAAGACCCTCCATCTTTAGTCTCCCCGTGACCACGGCTACTGCAAAGCATCTAATACGTCGAGCCTTAGTTAAAATCACTATTGAGCTAAACGACGAAAGATAGCGTTTTAAATCCTTAAAAGTGTTTAATTTCAATTTGTCTTTTGGTAAATATCATCAGTGCAGCGACAACAGAAACGTTCAGATTTAAAACAGTCACAATACAGACGGCCCGACAAACAGCGTTGTCTCTCAGCTTTCTTAAAGTGTTGCCGTTATTCTTTTGCGTATGCGTATCACTGAAATATTACAAACATTACCTTACTTTGTTTTTAACAACAATTTAACATTTCACGTTTAAATATGAAAGAAATGACTGTTTTAAATATATATTTAGGCAATATTTGATAAAAGATGCACTTGTAAGCAAAAAGTGGCCTGATTCTGGTAATTCAATTCGTGCTAGTGAGAAGCTATCGACAGACAATCGAGATGCCAGTGCAACAAAATTGAATCGATTGCCTGGTTAAGAGCTTTTGTGACGTCACATAAGGCTTGCCACAGACGATTGCGAGGCTAGCGTATTACCAGAATAAGGCTGTATTAATAATATGGACAATATTGTTGAGACGTCAATTTACGTAAACCCTGTCGCCAGTGTACTAGATATGTATTTAAATGTTATTAAATATAATATTATATATGTGAATATGTAAATAAATTAGTTACTCAAAGGTGTATTTTATTTCTTGATATTTTTTATGGTAGAGGGGGACAGACAAGCATGCTCACTGTCGCAGTTCACTTGATAAGTATGTGATATACCCCAGTCATATATGAACAGGATGTGTTGTCGACTTATTTTGGTTTTGCTATTGGGAAATTCACAGATTGAAACTGAAACGCTACTAAACTTGACGGCTTTTTGAGCTTAGATGAAATTTAGACTTTCCTACCGCCCGTTTAATATGTTTCAGAAAAATTACGACGACCTACGACCCGTTTAGAAGCCATACATTTCTACCATTGCAACCAATCTAGGACCAAAAGGAATCTAGAAATCTTGAATCATAAAGATGAGACCACAATCTCGAACTTACATCTTTTTCATTTCTCCTACATTTTTTATTATCGTCAAGATAAGCAGTTTGAGAAACTCCACGGAAAGCCGATAAAATAAGCCGTATCCGTGCTAACCTAATAATCCTAATTTGTCCGAATTGAAAACTCCAAACTCCAATAAAACGTATACATCCTGAGACTAGTGCGCGCCCCTGGCTTCGTTCCAACACTTCACTATAACGAGCTCTAGCTCACCTCAACAAAATAGATTTCCACGAATATCCACGACGAATTTACTTAAAACAAATAAATTATATATTTTGCAATTTATTAACTTAGTTAATATAAAGGAAGGACAAAATAAGTAATAAGTATTTAAATAAAACACTTTAACGGTTTGAAACGCGATATTTGCTAGTTTCACTTATATGAAAATTATTTTTATTATGGCCAGACGTTTTGGATGCTTTGCAGCAGCGATTGTTATCAAAAGAATAACGCCGTAAAGTAGTCAAAATAATTTAAAACACGCGTAAAATTGATCATACTTCTGTGCTCTATCCGACCGACACAAATTATTGCTTTCCCGGGAGTCGAACCCTCGTACTTAGCAGTAGGCGTTGAACCATCGCATTATAAAAGCGGTTTCATTGTTACACAAATTATTATTTCCATTGAGTAAGAACCATAAAACGGTTCATATTTTATGAAAAACCGGACCATTTGTCCCGGGCCGGTCGTTCACGCAACACGATATATAGAACTTAACTAATACAAATGGCGGTCGTTACACACTACTTGTTCTTATCCGCTAAGTAATGTTTCGAGTTACTCTCTATAATGAAATCTTTTGTGCTCCATCAATATTATTATGGGCATAACTTATAATGCTACGAATAAAGCTAAGAGAATTACATCGTAAAAAATGTCGTTTCAATTTTCAGATTTACAAATACGTCACACGTCGATAAAGGCTTGCTTTTCTGTATAGGCTAAAATTTTATTATAAAATAGACTTACGCGAGTAGTATCTATTTAACACCGACGTCTCCCCGTGACCACGGCTGCTGCAAAGCATCCGAAACGTCGGTCCGAAGTTAAAAATCATTGTCAAATAAGTTTAACTAATATATCGCGTTTTTTAACCGTTAAAGTGTTTTATTTAAATATGTGTCTGTTTGTAGAATACATCGGTTTTGTTTTATATAAGTTTTTAAGTACATCATGTAAACTTAACCTTACAACGGTTTTAAAAGTAGTCCACGTTGAAAAGCGTCGGAAAATCGGATAGTACTCGAAAATTGATAAGTGAAATTGTTTTAACCGTTAAAAGTTGTTATAACGTGTCTCGTTTTTTGTAT